AAAAGGGCTAGAGAGGAAAGGTTTTAGGCTTTGCGGGCCGCAGGACCCCTGTCACAGTTACTCGGCCCCGCTGTAGCAGCCCCGGAGCAGCCAGAGACAACCACGTGTAACTGAATGCACAGTCCTGCTCCAGTAAAACTGGACCTGCACACGCCCCGGCAGGAGGCGGGGCCGGGCCGCGGGCTGGAGCTGGCCGATCGACCTCTGACCTAGAAGACGCGGCTCCCCGCAATTCTGACAATTCCACTCCCGGGAAGCCAGTGCAGGTGGAAGAAACGGGCATTACTATCAAGCCCGGTTCACGAGTGCACTCTTTAGGGCACTGGCCAAAGTCAGCACTGTGTCCCGGGGTGGGGTGGGGGGCAGATTTCTGGGGGGGGGGGGGAGTGTGACAAAGTTCCCACAGCTTGTCCAGGGAAGTGTGCAGTGCCTGCACCTTGAACCAACCCTGCTGTCCCAGGGGGCCCACAGCCACCATGTCTGTCCCTTGAATTGTGTGTCACCAGATGCAGCAGAAGGTGGTCACCAGCGCAGTGTTCAGGGGGAAGAAGGCAGGCTACACGGAGAGTCTGAATCAGCCCTTTGCCGACAGCCGGATAGGTAAGCGTGCGTTTCCGCCTGTGCCCTCACTTTCCTGTTTAAGAAGAAGTCAAAGGACAATCTCCAGCTCTGTGGCTTTTCCCGATACCTCTTCCCCATCAGCTGAGGTCCTGGTCACAGAGGGACACAAGGCCGGTGGATGCCAGGGGCCCCTGCCGAGGGTGGTGCTTAGCGATGACTCACTGTGTTCTGATCCCCTCCCTAGATGAAGGAGATATCAACCCCAAAGTGCTCCAGCTCCTCAGCAACGAGAAAATCCAGGTGAGGAGGGAGGGAAGGGGCGGGCCTGGCCTCCGACAGGATTCCCCAATGGCATCGGGGCGGGGTGTGCTTTCTGCACGGAGTCCGGACACGCTGTGTGTACCTGCGGGGGTGCGTGCGGGTGGGCCGGGCTCTGGACTGCAACGCCCTGGGTGCACACTAAGAGTTGGGGTCCATGACCATCAGATACCTGTTGCTGTCCTTATGGTCCTTATCAGTCACCCTAGGAACTGCTGGGTCTTCTAGGAAGCTGAGGGAACTACGGCCATGAACTTCATCATTGCACGTGCCCTAGTAGTGAGCAGGACGGCAGGGTGCCGGAGCACGAGCAGCTCTGTGAGCCCGGGCAGGTTCAAGGAGCTCTCGGTGGCCCTCCTGGCTGCTCTGTCACTTCTGGTCCCCCGGGGATCAGAAACCCGAGTGGCTAGAGTGGATCATGCCCTGGTTGAGGTCTTTCATGTGCACAGCATGTTCTAGAGAGGTCATTGCTGTTGACCTCACAGAGGAGACCCGTGAGGCAGGTGGCCGCCACCTAGCCTCCCCCAGAAGGGCCACGCCGCAGGCAAAGCTAGGGGCCAAAACCTACTTGGCTGGGAGCCAGGGTGCTAGGAAAGCCCATTGATGCGAACCTGGCTGAGCCTCTGTCTGGGCACGTGGACGGACCGTTCCGGTGCCAGAGTCCGAGCGGCCAGGAGTCCGGTGCTTTGCCCCGTCCCCCACGAAGTAACGCCCCCCCTCGTAGTGACGGTAACCTCCTTGCAGTACGGCATCCCGGTCATTAAATACGACAGGAAAGGCTTCAAAGCGCGACCCCGGCAACTCCTCCTCACTCAGAAAGCGGCTTACGTGGTGGAGCTGGCCAAAATCAAGCAGAAGATCGAGTACTCGGCGCTCAAGGGTAAGCCACAGGCAAGCCTCCGACAGTTCGCTGGGTGGACTTGGGTCCTGGGCCCCCCGGCAGAGCGGCTGCCCCCCGAGGGAAGACATCAGTGTGTGTGTGTTGGGGGGGGCCGGCCTGGGCCTGTTATTCTGGTGTAAGTATCAGTGGTGCTCCCCCGATTCTAGTCTGCGGGCTGGACAGTAGTCACAAAAACAGTGACCTGTTCTCTACTCAGGGCGCCACCTCTGTAGCCCAGCAGCACGCAGACTGGGCCCAGCTCGGGGCAGGGGTGGGGCGGGGGTGGGGTGTGGGGTTGCGGAGCCCCTAGGCAGCCGCACCTCCTCTTCCATCTGTGCTAACGCCAAGCTGCCTGGCTCCTGGCTCCTAACTTTGAGTCTGTCTCAAGGCATCTCCACCAGCAGCCTGAGTGACGGGATCTTAGTCATTCACGTGTCACCAGAAGCCAACAGGCAAAAGGTAACTGACAGCCACCAGGCGCTGCCGACACGGGGAGGGCACACTGCCGAGAGGTGCCGGGGAGCACGCTCCCGTGAGAGGCCGCCTCTGAAGCGGTCCTGCCCTGCCCCGTCCTCTCCACCGCAGGGGGACGCCATCTTACAGTGCGAGCACGTCTTCGAGGCGGTCACGAAACTCGCCATGCTGGTTAAAAAGGAGAACATCGTCCACGTCATTCAAGGCAGGTAGGCGGTTTCACCTCTGGCCGAGGAAGCAGTTCGATGTGAAAACGGGTATTGACGCGTCAAGGAAGACGGGCACGTGAATCATTTCACCCATCCTGCCTCCCAGCAGGGGGCGCACAGGAGGCCTCTAGCGGGGTCCCCTGGCCCTGCTGGCAAAGAACTTCCTCCCTCACCCCTACGACTGGGGCTCCAGAGGAATGAAGAAGTCGGCGCTCACTCCCCAACCTGCGGGAACGGGGGTCCCACTGGAAGGGGTCCCACCGAAGGGGCTGATGTGCCCGGGGGATGCTGCTCTTGGGGCCAGAGCAGGTGACAGCCACACCTTGGCGGCTGAAGCCTGTTGAGGGGACAGCTGTTTAAGCGCAGTGGGCCTCAACCCTGCAGGCTGCCTGCAGACCACTTAGGGGAAAGCACTACAGTTTCTTTCGGGAAGGAAGGAAAAGTCCCCGGCACGTGGAGTACGTAATGCAGTTCCTCTCCACAACTGGAGGAGGCGCCACCTTTGCCACCTGACAGGCGCCAGGTGGTTACGCAGCAGCATGCGGATTGTCGCACAGCCGGTCAGGGACGGTGCTCGGGTTCCCAAGGCCACGCTCCTCCGCTCCTCCTCCTCCTTGGGCTCAGTCCGGCACCATGCCCCGGCCCTGCTCCTGGAGCCCCTGGGGGAGCGGGCCGCCCCCTCAGGCTCCTGCTCCCACTGCGTCCCGGCCTTCACGGCCTGAGGAGCAGACCCACCCGTGGGAGCAGGAGAGGCGGGCACGCCAGAAAGTGGCGTTTCTGTCTGGCTCTTCCTCCGGGGCAGACCCAGCCCACCACGAGGGCTGTTGTGTGAAGGCGGGTAAGTGGTTCTTCAGATTCCGAGCTGGCCCTGGAAGAACTGAACGTGTCATATGGAATAAAACTCTGCAACACAAAACAGGAGTTCAATCCTGAAACCAGTAAAACTTTGTTCATAAATCTCTTCCGCAGACCAAAGGCTGAGAGGAAGACAAAATAACTATGTCAGTAATTCTTGCTTTGTGTATTTTAAGTTTACAGTTTTATATCAGTCCTGGAAGAGAAGGCACCATAGTGTTCGACACCGGGCCAGAGGAGCAAATCTATAAGGATAAGAACGGGCAGTTAACCGTGGTGAGTGGCTGCGCCCCCTGTAGACGGGAGTCAAGACTGCAGCTCCATCAGTGTCAGGCCCTCTGTGGACCGACTGAAATCAGGAGCGAATCTACCTCTTTCTAGTCTGATCCTACATCTGGAGAACAGGGCGGGAGATTCAAACTGTGAATGAAAAGGGAAAAAGAGGCGACTTGGCGTATCTATTGTGAACCAGAAGATGGCATTAAACCCCCCTTGGCTTTCAGTGACAAGGCAAACCTGTCACCTGACGGCGAGGGTGTTACGCCTCATCACCGCGGTTCTCAGACGCCCGGTGCCCCCCCCCCCCCCCCGCGGTGGGCTGGGGAGGGGCCCCGGGTGGTGGAGTGCACGCCACGCCCGGTGTGAGGCCACGCCTGGTGTGAGGCGCAGAGGTGCAGGAGCCACAGCGTCTCAGGACGCAGTTGAGGGCCTGTGTGTGCTCTGCCCTCCCGGGCGCGTGGGACGCAGAGCTGGTGTTGACCCAAGCCCAGAGGTCGCGCCTCTCTCCCTCTTCCTCTCGGAGTCACAAAGCCCACCTTTCTCCCTGCCTGGCCCGGGCTGAAGAGGCCAACAGGCCCCAGCGAACCCATGTCTAAATGCGGCTTCTCGAAGCTCCTCCGCACCCACCCGGGTGAGGTTGGGGAGGGGAGAGGCCTCGAGCCCTAATCATGGACCCCCTTCCAGGTGTCCGTCCGCACGAAGTCCTGATAGAGGAGCACGTCTGACGGAGGAGCGGACTCGGGAGGCGGGGTTTGATCCAGGAAGGTGACAGCGGCTCCAGGACAAGACTCCCCTCTGAAGACACGGAGTGGCAGCCTGGGCCGGCGCCCAGCCCCAGCTGCTCGGGCGCCCCGGGCACTGAATCACAGCGCCCCCTTCAGGGAGCCAAGTCACCTGGGAGGGTGGTCTGAAATGTCCCCCGCAGGATGTGTGCCCCACGAGCACTTGAACCTATCGCTGTAAGGTAGGCAGCTGACTCTCGGCCTTTGTCCAGCCACCGCCAAGGCACAGCGACGTGCTGTATGTGGTCTGAGGCTGAGTGAGGAAAGGAAGTGTCACAAGGCCGCAAAATTCGGATCTGGCCTCACGTAAGTGGAACTTGGAAATGCATTGGCTCCTTCACCATTTCTGCGAGGTGCTTCAGGTTCCAGAGGGGGAGCTGTGTCCCCCCACGCCCCACCTCCCCAGCACTCAATGGGGGGCACCGCAGCTGACTGACTCTGCTTTTTCGGAAGCCCGACAGTGTTCTGCCAGAGGTGTCCCCCAGTGTGCGCCCAAGTGCCACTGCGCCAGGCTCGTCTTGGCCCTGAGCAGCTTCCGGTGCCGAAGCGGGAGGCCGGGTCTCTGCCCCGCGCTCTTTGCCGAACACTGCCCTTCGGGGGCGGGACTGTGCTCGGGTGTTTCCGAGAAGAGCCAGAGAACAGTTTAGGTGGAAGCATCACGTCACTTTTATTTTACATGTGTCCACAAACGCTCGTACAACACACAGCAACTGCTTCGAAAGCGTACAGCGTCTTTTCTCGCAGCACAAGGAGACAGAGGGGTCAGCGACACACGGGTGTGCAGAGGGCAGCTGCTGTGAGGACACGCACATCTGGCTGACGACAGGGCTGCGCCCCTGAGGGAGGGCCATGGCAGCAGCTACGCCAGGGGCAGTCCCGGGCCCAGGCCCGGTCACCACAGACAGATGGCGTGTTTGCAAAAACAATGGGGTTCCAGGGAACCAAAAGCTGTCCCAATGCAATAAAATTGTACCCTTTACCAAATCTCAGGCCAGTGCTTACTGGGACGGCTCTGAAGTGTAATACTGACTTCTGTGCGCCCGTACTGCCAGCCGAGGGAAGACCGGGTCCTGTAGGATACACCAGACGGCAGCGGGCCAGCCCTCGTCCTGGACCTGGAATGTTTTTGGGACCGCTCGTATCCCAGGGAAGCAGAGACTCGAAACTACAAGTGCAAAGGTGGAAGGAAAGTGCAGGGAGAGGGAGGGACTGCCAGAAACGTTAGGTCACGAGGAGCAGAAGCCCAGACACATCAGATTGCTCCACAAACGGACTCTTTGTGTAAACATGTTTCAAGAACAAGATATTTGATGGCTTTTCCATTCCCACGGAAAACGTCAGTACTGACATTCACTTTAACTTTCTAAAAAAGTCCAACCCAAACGGCAGGGTTGGTGGTTTGAAACTCAAACAGTATAAAATAGTTAAGAAACGTTTTTTAAGCACCCCCTTTCCTTAGCAGTTAATAAAATCCAAGTGGCCTTATATGAAAGTTTCCCACACAGCAGTTTAAAAAGGATCTACCCAACTTTTGGGCTCCATCGCAATAGTTTTACAGGCTTACGGGGGCTTTGCTGCTGGGTACAAAAATAAAGGCATAAACTGTTGCAGGGAGAGCAGAACGAACACAGTCGAAGCTGTAAAAACCATTTCAAAATATAAACTCGTTTTTTTGGAATACACTGTGTCGGAGGCTGCCCGTATTAATTAATACCTTTGGTATAAACAGTAACATTTCCCTTGGAAAGCAGACACAACCCATCCATTACCACGTACACATTCCTATCACCTTGTAACTACTCTACCTAGTCTAGTCCCAACCGCGCGCACGCGTCACAACTCGCTCCTGCCCGGACGGGCGCAGAGGAGACTGGGAGGTAGGTAACCGAGAACGCCCACACCACCGAGCACCTGCGAGCTCCCCACGAGCACACATCCCCCAACACTCACACACGTCCCTTAAACACGTGAACACTAACTAGCCCCGAAGGGATCTGCACAGCCTCTCACTAGTGGCCACCCCGTACTGTGTCCAAGTCAGAGGCAGAGACTGCAAGGCAATCGATCACCAGCTACTGGCTCCATTTACGGCAGGCAAACTGCCCCAAGGCTGCTGGTGGGAGTGGCAGGGCCACCCTGAGTTTCTGAGCAAAGGGCAGGGCATCTCCTTGCAGCAGTGAGCTCAGCTTGACAGGGAAGGAGGCCGAGGGGCAATGGGTCCCTCGGCTGATGAGCTATGCCAGTAGCCGAGCCAGAGGGCCTTCCTGGAATGCAGTGAGTCTGCAGGAGGGCAGTCGGAAGGGGTAGGAGCCAGGCACGGAGCTGAGCACTCACCCCCAGGGACAGCTCTGCCCTCAGCCAGATGCATGGGGGCCCACCGAGCACCAGAGCACAGGCACCCAGAGCTACACAGGGACAATTCAGAAGCATAAAGCACACCAGGTCCCATCTGCACTGCTGCAGGCTGCACTTATTCACCAACAAGCTCTAGGCACAAAGTCCTGCTGCAGGACGGCGCAAAGCCCATCTGGAAACCGAGCCTGGTGCAGTGCACAGGACCCGGGGTCAGTGTGCTGGGCTGGAGGACAGGAAAGACACAACCTGACGACGCCCCCCGGTGGCCACCAGCTGCAGGATCCCTCTCAGAGCTGTCAAACCGAACCCAAGCAGCTCACATAGGTAGTCAACATCCACAAAAATAAATACTGCAAACAAAAGTTCTCACGTACACTTCATACTCAATCACACTTTTCCTTTGAGAGCCCAGCGAGCCTGGCTCCAAAGCTCCCCACAGAAAGCAGGGCCCCTGGACCCAGCTTGTCAGCAACAGCGGGCATTCACCTGGGTAAAAACCAATTCACCTTGTCGAGAAGTATCAAAATAATCATCTGGCTATTACAAAAGTATCTCTAGACTCCAGGGGAAGTGGGCGGCGCCGGAGCCTGCACGGGATCTGAGTGCGGAGCAGGGAGGTGGAGGAGCTCGGGAGGAGGGCCCGGCCGCCTGCCCGCTCACTGGTGCAGGTGGGCACGGTCATCAGGCCGCTTGATGTGGATCCGCCGCACGCGCTCAATGCGCTCCCGCTCCCGCTCCTCATCTTCGTCCAGGTGGTGGGAGCGCCCGGCCGCCCCACCTGTGGCCTCCAGGAGCGCATTGTCAGGTCCCCGCCCATCCTGGGCCTCATACAGCAGAATATTCAGGGTCTCCTCGTAAATCCGAGCTTCAGGGAACTCCACCTGCATCCCCCCAAAATACAGGGCAGGTAAGTGAGCATCAAACACAGCCTACCACCTCTACCGCCGCCCAGAGTAAATCAGGCCCTGGGGTTCCATTCAAGCCCAAGGAGAGCGAGCAAGCAGAACACCTAACGGCAGTACAGTTCCATGAACAGGGGACCAGGTCTGAACAGCACTTTACAGCATGATTCAGCCTCACGTGGTGGCAGAGACAGAAGTCGAGGGAGAGGTCAAGTGTATTGGTTTGGGCCCACAGAATCCAGGGCACTCAGGGAGTCCTGTGCTTGGGAGGAAGCCAACGAGGGTGAGAGGTGAGGATCGCCAAGTGGGCCCCTGTGGCGGGAGAGCCGCTCTAGGTCAGCGGGTAAGAGGAGGGCGGTCAGATGGCAGTGAGAGGTCATGACTAGAAAGCCAAGGTCAGGACCTGGAAGGTAGCACTGTCCCTCTGACAACCAGGACAGGATGGCCACACTGGCGGGAAACGAAGTTGCGTGGCGGGCGAGGACGCGCACAGGCTGCATCAGACCACTGTAGACAGGGAAGATGCGGGTGGGCGGCTGCACGCGGGCGCGAGGCTACGTCTGAACCAGCGTTTGGGGGGAAGGAGCGGAGACGCAGCGTGGCTGCCTCTCCTTGCTGAGTGGGCCTCACAGAGGGAAGGCCACTCCGGCTCTCTGAGACCTACACCCGGACCTTGCCCCGAAGGGGAACGGAAGCCGCACAAGCACAAATGTCGAACTGGCCACCCAGAGCGTCCCCTCCAAGCCCTCACCTTGGTCTGTTTCTTCTCAGTGGCGTAGACAATGGAGGTGCAGCAGACTTCGGCGATCTTCCGGCCCTGGCCGTAGAAGGACCAGCAGCAGATCTCGTCCCCAATGACGTCCTTTATGAACAGGACCCTTCCGTTAAAGCGCAGAGACAGCTTATCGAAAAGTTCAATGTTTTTCAACATGTTGTCGTCAGAGTTGCTGCAAGAGAGCAGTTGACAAGGTGACCACAAGCCGGGAGCAACCGCCGCCACGGGCTGTTTCCGCGTGCCGGCCCGTCACCTCCACTGTCCCCTCCCAACCTCACAAAGTCCCCCGAGAAAGGCGCCACAGCCCCCACTGCTCAGAGAGGAATCAGGTAACTGCCTGAAGTCAAAAACCAATAAATGGCAGAGCCAAGACCTCAACCCAGACAGCTCTCGCCGCTCAGCTGGTACCCCCTAACCAGAGTGGTGGTGCGGCTGCTCTGCGGTGCCCCAGCCAGAGACGGAAGGCTGGGGACACAGGGCCAGCGGGGCAGGGCACCAGGCGGGGACGGGGAGAGCCCCAGAAGCCACAGAATCGGCCGAATAGAACTGCCAGAGGGGAATTTTTATCCTGGTCAGACGATGGGTCTTCAGTAATCTCACAAGTCCCCCTGCATCCCTCACGTTCCTGACTTAAGAATCGAAAATCCCCAGGAGTCACAAGGCATATTCTACAAACCAGCAAACACTGCTGGTGGGAATGTAAGATGGTGCAGCCAGTACGGAAAACAGCTGGGCAGTTCCCCGGGTGACTGGCCCCAAGTTAACACGGGACTGAGCCACTCCATCCCTAGGTGTGCACCCGAAAGAAATACAAACATGTCCACACACAACCGGGCACACGAATGTGCACGGCAGCAGCATGCTTCACGAGGGCCACGCCGGGGAAGCAACCCCCACTGTCCCCAGCTGGTGGACGGATAAAAAAGATCTGGTCTACGCACGCAACGGAATGTTACTCAGGCATGAAAAAGAAGGAAGCTCTGACCCAGGTTATGACAGGGGTCACCTCGGAAACATGATACTAAGTGAGAGAAGCCAGTCACAGGAGGCCACACACTGCCCGATTAACGCACATGAAATGTCAGTGCAGGCAACTCGGCAGAGACAGGAAGCGCACGGTGGTTGCCGAGCACTGGGGGTGGGGGTCGGGGGGAGTGGGGCGGGAAATGCGGATCGAGTGCTGACGGACACAGGGCTTTCTTTCAGAGGTGACAGAATGTTCAAAATCTCGGTGATGGCTGCACAACTCTGCAAATACACTAGAAACTACTGAGTTATATGCTCGACAAGGATGAATCTGATGGCGCGTGTGAATTACGTCTCCCATCTATCACCTGCCTTTCTTCCCACCCACCCACGTGGGCGTGCTGTGGCGGTGGGGGGGGCACCCCCATCTGAAGGGACTGAGGGGAGCCGGGCCTGGCTGGTGGGAGCCAGGCCTGGCTGGTGGGAGCGGAGGCTTTCTTAGCAAGCACTGGTGTCTCCTCTGGCTGCCGCCTTACCTGGTGTAGGAGTACTTGTTGTTGCTTCTGTTGTAGAGTAGCTTCACGGCTGGCTGCGGGTTGTTTCAGAAAAAGAGGAGGGTTACTGGGAGTGCGGACGTGGTGCACCGCTGGCTCCCCACGGGGCGGGGCCTGCCACCAGGACCAACGGGCACACGGCACAGCCTGCCGGCTGGAGTGGGGCTCCAGATGGGGACGCTGACCCCACAGCAGGGACACGAGATGAGCCAGGGGTTCCCCTTCTTAACCCCTTCTCAGGTCTTCCTCGGGTTTTCATTTCATAGCTCACTCAGAAGGACCTCCTCCGCCTCTGATAGCAAACAATGCCACGAGGGTGCCTCCAACATACCTTATTCGATGTTGCTATAAGTTTCTGTTCTTCTTTGGATGAGGTGATGACGGGAACTTTGCAGAACGGCTCATACGCATCTTTGTTCTGCTGGAACAAAACATGTTTTCAGCCTAGGAGGCGTGCCCCACGCTGGATTATTTAAACCGGCCTACAGGGCAGAGACAGGCCCTGAGGGGGGCAGGTGGGCAGTCGTGGGTGGGCAGAGAGGAGGACTCTCACCACCAGGGGAGTAGCATGGGGGCACGACCAGGAGCCGAGTTCTCCACCGTGCCAGGCGCTCAGTGAATCCTAACAGCGCGCCACACTTCCACAGTCTAGGGAGCCGCACAGAGAGAGGCCCTAAACGTGGCAGATGAAATGAGACTGCATCAAAGCTCCCAAAGCCCGTGGCGATGACAAAGAAGAATAAAAGAGTGTAAGCCCATGACCAAGGGTTATTTTTAACCAAGGGTTAAAAAAAAAAAAAAGAATGAGAGACGTGAAGTCAGAAGACAAAAGATACTAAGAAATTTGAGGCTGGAGAAGAGATGGCAGATGAGTGACGGCCGAGGCGGAGGAGAAAGCTGGAACCTAAGCCAGCAGATGGGAAAGAAACCTGGAGATTCTCAAAGAGCAGCCCCCACGGCGGGTGGGCACGGGGCGAAAGGAGAGGGCCACCTGCTGGATGGCAGAAGCACCGGAGAGACCCCCAGAGGGACCCCCTTTCAGCCTGTCATTCACCACTGAAGCCCACCGGACGGCAAGGACCACCCCCACACGCAACTTTTCAGAGCCTCACTCTAACTTCAACAAGCCACGGTCATTGGAGGATATGTGAAAAGCCTCTGGAACATGAGACCACACCGCGAGAGAGAGAGGGAGAGAGAGAGAGCGAGCGAGCAGGAGGCGGGGTCAGGCGACCAGGGCGGTGGAGAGAGAATGTTGAACACCAGCAGCACCAGACAGGGGAGGGCAGGCGCTGCAGCCCCTGGGACATGGGACAGGGTCGGCGGCCCTGTGAGAAGGGCGCTCGGGGAGTGGGGAGGGGCTCTGGGAAGCGAGGTACGTGAGAGCAGAAGCAAAAAAGGGCTGAAAAGATAAAGCTGAGGAAAGAGAACAACAAACCTCTGAGAAAGTGGAACGGGAAGAAACAAGCGACAGAAGCTGGGAGGAGGCCAGTCCTGGAAGCTGGACCTCAGACTGGTGGAAACCACAGGAAGGTAACCCAAGGGCGTGTCTCCAAGACAAGAGGGACCACAGCGCCACTGCGGTCTGACCCCACCAACGGGAGACCGGCCTCTCCGAGAGTTCGGGGCCGCATCGGGGATGTGTATTCAGAAAACCAAGCAAACAAAACAACGAAGCAATCCCTAAGTCTGGCAAACTGAAAAGTTAGGTGAGAAAGAAAACAGACGCCCTGACTGGTGTTCAGCGGGCTACACGTCACCCTGGGGACTGAAAGGTCGCCGGTTCGATTCCCAGTCAGGGCACATGCTTGGGTTGCAGGCCAGGTCCCCAGTTGGGGGCGTGTGAGAGGCAACCGATGGATGTTTCTCTCCCTCTCTTTCTCCCTCCCCTTCTCGTAAAAATAAAATCATGGAGGAAGGGAGGGAGGGAGGGGTCCCTATATGCCCTGTGGCTCAGTGGCTCACACTCCGACCTAAACCAGACGTGGGTTAACCTGCGTTGCGAGAACAGGAGAAGAGGCGTGTGAGAGTCTGGTGGTGGCCAGGACGTGGCAGCGCAGAGCTAGGATGTGCGTGTCCCACAGTGACCCCGCAGGTGGCCCTGAAGACGGAGTGTCGGCAGAGAGCAGTGCGGTAACAGGGAAGTGGGTGACGCCGAGGGCGGCGGAGGCGGCTGCTGGGGCGCAGGGGTGAGGAGGGAGGGCACTCGGTGGTATTTCTGACGACACTATCACACACGACTTCCTAGGGGACGTACGCGTGCTTCCTGAACAAATGTAAACATGAAATAAAAACCCCGAAGTGAAGGCTGTGACACTGGGTCAGAGGAACGGTGAGCTCACGGACTCTCAGGTGGGGGCGTGCGGAGTCCCCGGAGGAGCTGGGCATCGTGGGTACTGCTCCAGCCCGGGCCAGACAGACACGTGGCTTGGGAGAGGCCCCAACAAGAGCCTCACGGACACAGAGCCAACTCCTGTGACGACCCGAAGGGACTCCTCTGATCCTGGGCCAGGCGGGAACTCTGTCTGATGTCGACAGCCACTGGCTACGTCTAGAAGCGTTTTGGTTTTACAGGGATTTTGCTGTTGTGAGACTGGACCCTGGTGTTCCTGCCCCAGCTCCAGGTGAGGAGGGAGGGTGTCTGTGTCTGCAGAGGTCACGCCAGGCTCCCAGTGGTGACCCGTGGGGTGGGAGTAAGCCCCACGATGCATGCGTTCAGGAAACTGTTGCACTGTCATGACCCATGGTTCAGTACCAAAGGTCTCAATCTACACGTGAGGTGACCCAATGCCGTGGAGACTGAAGTCAGCCAGAAAGGAGGCAGAAGGCTTAAACAGGGCAGAAAAGCCCTTCCGGGTCACTCTGACCACAGGGGAGAGGCTCCAGAGTCAGCTCGTTCCCCCTCAGGAGAGGTCAGGGAGGTGGGAAGCGCCCCACCTGCAGAGGGGAGGGGGGAAGGGAGGCAGGGGGGAGAATGGGCGGTGCCTACTTGCAGGGCTGCCTGGCACTCCTCCACCAGGCCCTGGACCAGGTAGTACTTGGCTTCTGCGAGCAGCTCCTCGATCTCCCGGCGGCTCTCGGGCAAGGGGACTGCCCCGTCACGCAGGTAGTTGAGGATCGTACCGAAGTGCTTCCCGCAGCGGTCAATGAGGATCCAGCCTGCAGTGGAGGGAGGAGGCAGGGAGGACTCGTCACATGGGCGCACCTCTCTCGGAAGGGCCCAGGGAGAACCGGGGTGGCTCCTGTCTCCCCACCCCCGGGGAGAGGGGGACCACACAGGGTCACCAGCAAAGGGCCGGCCAGGCCCGGCCCACGCAGCGCTGTCATGGCCTTCAGACCCTGTGGCTGGAAACCACCACACCCTGGACTCCTCTGGTCTCAGGCTCTTTGGACGCCACAGCCCTCCGAGGCCTAAAGCACATTTCTAAAATACCCTCGAAAATCCCTCGGACAAGACCATCTCACAGCGGCCCAGCCCACCACCCCTGGACAAAATGCATCCAAATGACCCCAACAACAGGAAAAGGCCTCTGGAGGAAAACTATCTACCCCCTCTCTCTACAAGACGTTTTCAGACTTTGAAATAACGGCATTTCTAAGGAAGCAGAGGACTCCTCCCACAGACTTCGACCTCTGGGTCCTGAGCATGACCCCCAGACACTCACCAGCACCGCCCAGGGAAAGTCCACCCCACCCCCAAACTCGCACTTACTGGCCAGGGACAGCGACCGACCAGAGACAAAACGGTGCCGGAGACGGAGATCGGAAAGACCGGCCCGGCCCGCGAGCCCGGCAGTCTCGCGTGGGAAACGGAACTTGCTTTTATGAAACACGGAACCCCCCGCTGCCCAGAACCAGGGACGGGAAGAAGTTCTGAGGGGCAGGGCCAGGGAGACAAGCCCTCCCGCAGCTCGGTACCCTCTGCACCTCGGCACTGGCCTGCCGGTGCTCCGCCAGAGACGCACTGGGCCTGCAGAGTTCCTCTCCTGAGAGGCCAGTGTCCCTGGGGGTGTGTCTGGGGGAGGGCACGACGGGAGCCTGGGCGGAGAGAGCACCAACGGCGGGGAGGGCAGGAACGGAGGTCACCACGTGTGTCTGGACAGAAAACGTGAAGTGCTAGAAAGAAGCCAGACAGCCCCGGCCTTCCGCCCGGCAGGGCCGCCTCGGGCAAGGGCCTCCCCAGGTCTCCCGTCCTGCGTCACAGGCAGGTGAGGGAACACCAACGCACGGCGCAGCTGGGGGTCTGCGCAGAAACTGGTGCTCTGACGCCCCCGCTTCCCACCCCTGGCACCACTGTGCCCCACCCCGCCCTCCTCAGACCCTGGGGTCACGGGGTCGCACGCTCCGTGCCCCTGACCCAGCCCTGCCCAAGCCCTCCGTGGTTTCAGCGGGCTAGTGGGTGCTCTCTGCAAGGATCACCAGAGGGGTTGATAAGCAAGCCATTTCCACACACCCCTCCTGCAAGTACTCCTCAGCCCAAGCTTCCCGGGCCTTGGTCTCATCTTTCCAGAGCCTTCCGTTTGTGCTTCCACACAGCTCTGGCCTCGTATGTGGGAAGATTAACCCCGCACTGGGGCAGACACAATGCCGTTTCTTTCTACAACCGAGATGACAAAGTATGGACTTGGCGTCTGTTATGCAGCTCAGAGGCCTACGGGCCTAGAGAGAGCAGGAGGAGCGAGTGCAGGGGCCCGGGTGCTGGGGAAGGAAGGGCCTTCCCGCTCCAGCCGAGAGTGGCCAGACAGAAATGTGGGTCCAGGGCTGCGGCAGCCTCTGATGCTCCAAGCAAAGGCAAAAATGCAACTTTCTGTGGTATCTCCTGGTTTTTAAAGAATGGTAAACTAATTTTTTAAGAACCTGCCATGAACCCACTACGGGGCAACCCAAGCACAGCTGCAGGCTGCACTGGGCCGGGGCCACGAGCTGCAACCCCTGTGCGGCCCCGGGTCTAGCGCCGCTCTCCAGCAGCTGACAGGGCACGGAAAGGCGGCATCACCTCCCCCCGTCCTGGGTGGGGAGTCTCACCCACTGCCTTTCCCACAGATGGACACGGGGGCTCAGGGAGGCTCAGGGAGGTTCGGGGACGTTCCCACGTCGGGCAGGCAGAGCCAGACCGCAGTGAACAAGAGGAAACAGGAGGACTCCTTTCACGGGAGCTGAGAAGACCGGAGAAGGGACAAGCAGAAGCCCGGTTTTTAAAAGAAGCGGCCCCCGTCTCCACGCAGCTGCTCCAGGAAGAAAGCGTCCACATTCTGTCTCTGATGCACGGGTGGCTCAGCGGCCTGGAGGGGGTGAGGGCCCTGAAATCAATCACTCCAGGGATCTCCGCGGCTCCGGGCTGTTGCTGAGTTTCCCTGCACGGACAGGCGGACCGTGACACTGGCTCCGGCTCAAGAATGCCGTCAGGAAATGCTTGTGGCGAAGGAATCCTGCTTTGGACAAATAAGGGCAAAGGAGCCAGGCGGACTTTCCATGAGGTTTCAATTAGCGTTCCAAGTTTAAGGCATTTCAGTTGCTTTCGAAGCAGGAATCCATCCCTTCGAAACAGCTTCGCATGTAGAAAAGCGGAGGAAGCTGAGCCCGTGGGGCGTCTTTCCTGCCCCCACGGAGCCCATTTAGGAAAGCTGGACTTGTCAGGACAGGGGGCGGGGCGGGGGTGGTCCCTTCGACAAGGCGGAGAGGACCGGCAGAGTGCAGACCAGTGGCTCGGGGACAGTGTGGGACGCAGCACAGCACAGGGGTTAAGAGCTCGGCCCACGCTGGCAACCCAGCTCTGCGTATTTGCTGGTCGATGTTAGCCTTTCACTTCACCTCTGTGTCCAGTACTGTCCTCTTCTCAAGGTGGTGCCTCGCAGGGCCGGCAGGAAGGTGCAGGAGGAGAATCACGGGAAGCAGCGACAGCACAATACTGAGTGTATTGGTGGGACTCAAACTGGGTCTCTGACGATGAACCCTTTGCACATTTCATCAACACTGCCTGAGAAGGAAGCATCCCGCGGCAGCATCCCGAGGAGGCACATCCCAGCCCCCAGGAGGGAATCTGTGTGACCTGCAGGTACCTCAGAGGCTGCTGTCAGGGTCAGAGGGACTGCTGCCAGGCCTGCCTTCTCTCCGACCCACCAGCACACCCTGTACTTCCTTTCTCCTTTTCCTCCGCCTCTTCCTGCTGGGAGCCGTCCCTGACCTCTCCTTGCCATGTGGGGGTGTTTGCACTCTGCATTTTTGTGGCTCCCAAACTTGCCTGATCGCAAGTCATCTGAGGTGCGTGTTACAATTTTGGATACCAGGAAGCGGCCTTGCTCCTGAATCAGAACCTCGGGGGCAGGATCTCTAAGCCTCAGCACTCCTGACATTCTGGGTTAGACGTGCCTCTGCTGCAAAGGGACTCTCCTGCGCATCACAGGGTATTCACCAGCATCTCGGCCCCCACCCACTGGATGCCAAGGGCGCTCCCGCCCCCAAACCATGACAACCAGAAATGCCTCTGGACAATGCCAATATCCCCTGGGGATCCACACCGCCCCTGGCTGACCACCACCGAGGTAGCTAGGAGACTAAAATAAAAAACAAAACGACATAAATACTGAGGCACCCTTAAAAAAGCTGTAACAAGTCAGACTTACGTTGTTTATATTAATGACATAAAACCATGAAAGAATAAAAACCAGAACAGACACTTCTTTCTACAAAGCAAAAATGGGAGAACGCCTAAGTCAGAAGCAGTCGGGCAGCCACGCGATGAAGCGCGAACACGGTAAGATGCTCAGCCCGCTGGAAACGCTGGAAAGGAGGACACGGTGCCTGAAACAGCAGAGGACCACCTGGGAGCCACCAAACCGGCAACAACGAAAAGGCGTGGCGGTGCCTCTGTGGGGCGCGTAAATTGCCACAACTGTTAATATGCAGTTGAGCGGAAGACACTGCCCGCGACTCCTCTCCTGGGAATAAACTCTAGCACTGAGCTCCCAAAGGCGTGTGGGCCCTCAATGCTGCAGCCCGAGGCAGCCAGGCAGGGTCTGGAGAGTCAGGGGCCTTCCTTTGCCAAAGTGAAAACGTAATTTCCTGGGTGTGCCGAGGTGTGACCGAGGCTGGGAGGCACTGCCCTGGGGAAACACACACGCCGGGGAGTTTTCCGGAATGATCAGTACTCCTATCGGCGAACGCCACCAACAGAATATGAATCCAACGTCTGCAGTATCTTCCTAGGATGGGACATTCTGGGTCAGGGGACTGTTTGAACTAGATTTAGTAATGGCTTGACAGTACCAGCAAAATGCTAAGTAAAGCAAAAGCGGAAAGGTTACACACAAAGTAACACCATTTATATAATGTTTAAAAACACATACCACATGGAAAACATACCAGGTCTACCTGAGGCACGGAAACAAACACAGAGCGGCAGCCAGAACGGGAAGGACAGGAGGAAGCCCAGACGAAGAAGTAAGGGAAATGGAGGCGAGCAATCCCCCAGACACAGGTTTGAAAACGGCGGTTATAAGGATGCTCAAAAAACTCAGAGGAGAAAAGTGAATGAACTCAGTGATAACTTCAACAGAGAGAGAGTAAGCATTAAAAAACCCCCAACAGAAGCCATTTAAAAAAAGTGAGAAATGAAGAACACAGTATCTGAAATGAAGAATACGCCAGAAGGAAGCAACGGTGGACTGGATGAAGCAGAGGACCGGATCAGCAATCTGGAAAACAAGGTAGCAGAAAACACGCAATCATAGCAACAAAAAGAAACAAGAAATTAAAAAAAAATGAGGATAATTTAAGGGACCTCCGGGTACCAGAAGGAGAAGGGAGAAAGCAAGAGATTGAGAATCTATTTGAAGAAATAATGACTGAAAACTTCACTAATTTGGTGATGAAAAAAGACACACAAGTCCAGGATGCGCAGCGTCCCAAACAAGATGACACGGGGCAGGCCCACACCGAGACACATCATCACTGAAATGAATGGCAAAGGTTAAAGACAAAGGGAGAATCTTAAAAGGAGCAAGAGAAAGACAGCTGCCCACAAGGGAGCGCGCATAAGGCCGTCAGCTGACTTCTCAGCAGAAACTTTTCAGGCCAGAAGGGATTCGCACGAAGTATTCAGAGTGATGAAAAAAGCAAGGACCTACAACCAAGGCTATTCCTCCCACCAAGGCTATCAT